ATATGGGTTAGTTCCCTGGCAGGAATTTAAATCAGACTATATCAGGCCATAGTGGTGATAGCACCAAGACTTAAACCCTGGGCCATCAGGGAGGCCTGACGACATGTATTTCTTTCTTTTGAGGTGTAAAATTCTATAAATTTCCATTAACTACATCTACTTCAACACTTCATTTAAATCTCTGTTTTTGATGATTTTCTATCTATATGATCTATCCCTTTTTTGTCAGTAATATGTCGATACCTCTGATAATAATTATTGTTAATTATAGTTAATATGTTGTTTTATGTCTGTTAATAGTTGCTTTGTATAACTAGTTGTCCTTGTATTAGGTGCATGAATATCAATGTTATATCATCCTTCCAAATCATTCAATTGACCACTATATAGTATCCATTTTTGTTCCATATTACAATCTTTACTTAAAGTTTAGTTTACTTTATATGAGAATATCAGTTCCTTTGTTTCCTTGTGGATTATTTGTATGCATGATTTTGACTCAACATTCTACTTTTAGTCTGTTTTTGTTTATAGGTTTTAAATAGGTCTTGTAAACAAAATGTAGATGTCTGAAACTTTTTAACCTCTTTGTTAGATTATGTCTTTTAATAATTAGCTCAGAACATTTACATCTAGGGAGACTGTTAATATCTACTCTTCATCAGTCATTTTGTTTTTTTTTATTTTTGCTTATTTGATTTTTCTGTTGTTTATCCAGTTGTTTCTCAATGCTCTTTCTGATAACTTTAACTACTAATTCTGTCGATTTCTGTGTTCTTTCATCTGTGGGCCTTTATTTTAGATTTTGGGCTAGTGGTTACCGTTGGATTGTGCTTAATTTACTATGACTTAAATCTTTTATGAACTGGTGTTCACAAATTTTCATCTATGCAGGTTCCATTCATTTCTTTTTCCCCTTTAGTATTTTGTAGTTAATCTATGCAGGTTCCATTCACTTCTTTTTCCCCTTTAGTATTTTGTAGTTAATTTATAATTTTCTTGTGTAAGCTTCTGGTTTTCTATTCTTACTGTCATTTTGCTCATGATTTTGTATTTCTTTTTTTTTTTTTTAATTTTCTTGTAGAAGAACTCCTTTCAAAATTTCTTGTAAGGCATATATGATGGTGATAAACTTTATTATCTTTCGCATGTCTGAGAAAGCCTTTATTTCAAATTCACACTGGAACAATACTTTTGCAGGACAGAGTCTTCCTAGTTGGTGGTTCTTGTCTTTTAGTATTGTGAACACTTGCTTCCCTTCCTGGAGATTTTTTATGGAAAAACTCAATAAAGCCTATTTTGGTTTCTTTGTAAGATATTTTATGTTTCCTTGTTTCCTGTGAATTTTTTCTTTATAATTCACATTTGATAATTTATAACTAAAATGCCTTGATGTAGGCCTGTTTGCATTTACAATTTTAAGTTTTTTCTTTGCTTCCTGGAGATTTATACATAACTCATTTTTTAGATTTGGGAAATTCTCAGTTATTTCTCCCCTCTATAGGTTTCTTCACATTCTGGAATAGCAATTATTCATGTTTCCTCTCCTAATTGAGACTGATTTTTCTCAGTTTTTCTTTTTGTTCTTTCTCTTTTTCTAGTTCAGTGTTTTGTATATTTGAGTATTCTATTTCTGAAATTCTTTGCTCACTTTAGTTTTAAGTGCTTTCAAAATTTCTAATTATTTCATTTACAGTATCTTTTTGTGTTCTTTTAATCTTTTCAATATCTTTGGTCTCTTTGATCCTGAATATCTTTTCTAAGATTTTGCACCTGCTTAGTTTCTTTTGAGTGATCGTCCAATAGCTCATTTGACATATTGTTGTTTTGAAGTATTTTTCTGAGGGGACCACAATTTCTGTATCCTTTGCGTTTTTCCCATTTTGCTTTTCCACTTTGTGTTCAGATATTCTTTTCTTCATAAGCATGTATGTTGCCTTCTTTTCTTTATTTTTTGTTTAGTTTTGTTTTTCCTTTTGGTATGTTTGGGGCTTGGGGGGTTTATTTTTTGCTTGTTTTCTCATCTTAATTTAGATTGGCATGAGGCAGGTGTAGAAGGGGAATCTGTGGTTTAATATTCAGTTTCAGTTTGAGTAGTGGATTTTGTCACTTGTACCTCCTTTCCTTTCCCTTCACAGCACTCCCCTCCCCAACAGTGTTTTAGTGTTTCCCCATCCCCCTTCCTTGCTGCTCCTTTCTGCTGCAGGCATAAGCTATGATGTTTGAGTCTCTCAGTGGTCGAAGCTAGATCTGGAACAGAGGGCTTATGCTTAGAACTGTGTAGGGCTTTGGAGGCAGATGGTGTCTTGGAGGGCCATGTGCAGCATTATCTGGATATTGCCACAAGCAGTGGATGTCACTGCCCCATCCCAACAATGCAGCACAGCTTCTGAGGGGCTATACATTTTGTACAGGTGTGTGTTATTTCCCAAGTGATTAGTGAGTTATCCCCTAAGTCTCAGCTCTGCTTTTGGGTCTTTTATAGAGCACAGCTTGGCACAGTCAGGCACCTCTTTAATTTCTCCTGGGAGGTTGATGGAGGTAAATTTCCTCATTCATATCTACTGTGGAGTTCTAAATATCTTGCCAATCCTATGCTTGCATGTCAGAAATGTTCTTCTAGGGAATTTTATATTGCCCCAGGGTTCTCAATTGTACCTCAAATGACCACTCTACAGCCTGTTCTGCCAACAGGGCTATCTATTTTCCCACTCATATTTCCTACTTTGTCTCATTCTTTCCCCTCAGCAGCCATGGACCTTAGCTCAAATTTCCATGGGAAAAGTCCTGGGAATATATTGAAGGAAATTCTGTGTCTTCATTTTGGCAAATATTTCTTAATATTTGTTTTTAGGGGGAAATGTAATACTAATTGCTACAATCGAACATGTTGTGGGTGAAATAAGAAATCTCTACAAAAATGTTCCCAATGTTGTCTAGGAAGAGGTCCTCGGAAGGGTCAACAAAGTCAGCTTGTATGGGTACGTCACATAATTTCTTACTATTCTTCTCATGTACATGATATAAATATTGAATTCTTACATGTGACAACCACTACCACACTTATGTCTCAAAATTAATGTCACCATAGTCCTAGACTATGAAAGTCTTGGAGACCAAAAATAATAATAGGGAGTTCTGTAGGACTTCTGGGAAGTTTGGCATTTGATGAGTTTCTTTGATCACTTTAGGATTATTGTTAAGGTGGAAAGTTATTAAGGTAAATCAGTGTTTAGAATACTTGGAGACACAAGAGGACCTGAAAGGAATAGTTTTGACATTTGATGAGGTTAATCAACCAGAAAAGACCAGCCAGTATCAGAGAGGCTTGAAGAAAACCAGCATGAGGTAAAGGGGCAAAATAATTTTATTTTACTTTTTAATTTATATATCTATTTATATTATTATTTACAACAATGTTTACTTCTCCCCTTCCCCACTCATCATCACCATAGCTCCCAACATTCCTCCCTCCTTTTGATATATCTCTGTTCCCCTCCCCTGTAGACTATTTCTGGTTTATAAATGTCTGTTTTGTTGTGTTTATTTTTATTTCTTTTTCTTGTTCTTTCTGAATTTTTTTTACTGAGCATAATCCCTTCCAACAGCTCCATATGTGCTGCTGCAAATGGTGTGTTTATTTTTTTTGATTGCTTAGTATTCCATTGTATGTATGTTTGTGTGTGTGTGTGTGTGTGTGTGTATATATATATATATATATATATATATATATATATGTATATATATGTATGTGTGTGTGTGTGTATGTGTGTGTGTGTATGTACCCCACATCTAATTCTGGGTACTTTGGAACACTGTTTAATTGGAAATCAAATATCTATAAGCACTCTGCATCCTCAATGAAGTAGAGGTTTATTGGGAATAAGTACAGGTGCTTTATTTGGCTGCTGGAATTTCCGGCAACTTGAATATAATTATATCTTATGATGACTCATTCTGAACCAGAGTCCCATTAAAAGCAAACACAAGGAAGAGTCTAGGTAGAGTGATGTCTCATTAAGATCACCCATATCTGGGGACAATGACAGCAGTTGGCAGTAACAGAAGCAGCTGTCAGTAATTGGGGTATGACAAAAATGTAAACTATTATTTCTAAGCACAGCAAATGACAGAACCCTGCGATGCAGAGGAAAGAGTAGTGAATTTGTAGTCCAGATGACTTAGGTTTTGAGTCACTTCATTCTGAAGATTCTGCATTGTCATCTGGAAAATGGGACTAATAGTACCAACCTTCCCTTTAAAGGTTACCATGAAAATAAACAAAGACATATAAAATGATGGATACTGAATAGACTTTCAAATAAACAGAAATTAGTTGTTTTTCTTTGTCAAATTAAGCACTTCAATTTAGTTTAGTTCATGAAATAAAATGAAAAAAGCTTCATTTGTATTCAAATTGATCCACATGGCATTTTTCATTTTCAATTATTTTAGCTTATGTTTCAGAGAAAGACAAAGAATGACTATATGAATATTTTGTCTTTGTTCAGTTTGACAGTTTCCATTATGATTTGGGACTTCTGGTTTGACAAATGCCCCCAAGCCCATGAAAGAAAGTTGTGCACATATTACCAATATAGTTACATCATAAGAAAACAAACAAAAAAAACCTAAATATTTTATTACCAATATACTTATATTGGTAATCAACACTAAAAATCTGCTATTGTCTATTTGTCTCTATATTGTTAGAAAAGGTAAGTTTCACTTTTTAAAAAATAAAACAAAATAGAGGTTTTCTTGTTTTCTTGTATGCTATCAGCTATATTTTCACATAAGTACATTAAACTATTCACTCCTAAGCATTAGTTTTATGACAATTTTCCCAGTGTCATGGACTTGTGGGGACCCAGACACATCCTGTCATCCCAAGATAACTTTAGAATATAAATAATCCATGAATGTGCAGGTACATAGCCTATGGTTTCTGATTCAAGAGTGAGTTGGGATGGTGTTAGGTTAATTAAAGGCAGCTTTACCTTTTTGTTTAGGAACTTTTCTCACAGTCATCGCAGCCTGTCTCTTTTGGTTTTCAGAAATTTCAAAGCCTATAACATAAAAATATATAATTTTGTTATGATAAATATAGACTTCTTAAATGTTCAAATTAGTACAAATTCTCAGGAATAGTAATTTGAGAAGATGCATCAACAGTCTTGAAAAAGAAAGAGATAAATGGAAACAGACAAAGATTAAGATACAAAGACACATTTCACATTAGAAGTGAAGAAGTCTGAAAATGTGCATTAAGAAGCTATTAAATGGTATAAAATAGAAAATATCTCACAACTAAAAGTAAAATTACAAAGAAAAGCAAATAATTAGTCAAAAGAAAGTTACATTTATTTGAGGAGTCTGCCAAGATGGTGGCAGATTGAAAACACTGGTTTAGCCTTTTACACATATCCACAATCAAATTAGAGCAGAACAAAGTCAACAATTCCAAAGAGATAAACTGATTATCAGACATCAGAAACACTATCTCAGTGGGAGGGAACAGGAAAAACTAATTGAATTGTGTTTGCATTTATACCTGAATAGTAAACAGTAAGCAACCCTTCTGCTATTTTTTACTCATAAGAAAATTACCACTTTGGTGACTTTGGAAAATGACTTGGAGTAGTGATTTGTACTATACTTAAAAAAAAGGGGGTGTGGAGTTCACATGAAGGTCAGAGGGGAACTATGGAATAGGGGCACAAAGTGATGATTACTAGCTTTAGTATGAGGCTCCCATTATAGATTAGTAGCAGTGTGAACCCATGACAGCTACATTGAATCACCTCTGTGTATTCATAGAACAGTCTACTATTTGCAGCCTGATGTCTGATACTTGAAATACATGACTTATGCCTCCTTACTCTGGGCCAAAACAAAGACAAGAACTGAATGAAGCCATTAACCAGATCAGAGATACCTTAACATTGATAACAGGTGCAAATAGCCCATAATAAATTTCTATATTAAAAAACAAATTCCTGACTCATGACACCATTTCAAGTGTAATACTCATACAGGCCTAGAGGTTGAGAATGGCACAGAGCTAGAACAGTGTTTTGTCCAAGGAGTTGATGTAAGGGAGGGTGTCACTATGGATCCTTACCAATGACTCTGGTGCCCTCATTATAGTAGAAGATTGAACCCGTGATGCACACTGGAGGCAAACTTTCAGTGCCCTACTGTACTGCTTCCTTTCTAACTATTATACCTCACTGGCACCAATGTCATAGTCATTATAATAAGTCTGTGACTGACAGGCCTTGAGTGAAATATAAACCTAGGATTATACCTAGTTCATTGTAGTAGGGATAGAAAACCAACTTACATTAAATAATTTTCCTTATTAAAACCAATGAAAACTAAAAAAATGAACGCAGAAGAACAGTATAAATGAAGGAGAAAAAAAACTGCTGAAAAAAGCCTCAGTACAGTAGAACTGTGTAATATGCCTTATAGTGAGTTATAAGAAAAAGTGTAATAAGTATGCTCACTAAATTGATAAATACAATGGATGCTGGAAAAGAATGAAAGGTGAAAAAACTATAAATCTAGAAGTAATGGATCTAAAAATAATTTAACCAAATTAAAAAATACAATAGAAGGCCTCAATACTAGACAAAAAAACAGTAATGGAGAGAATCATTGAACTTGAAAGCACAGTGGCATAAAACACACAAATAAAGCAAAGATATTTTTAAAAATGAACACAAGGTAAGAGTTTTTGGACTAGATGAAGCAAGAAATAACATCCACTTCGTGGAGTGCCACAAAATAAAAAAGCATAGAAAATCATTTAAATAAACACTTGCTGAGAATAAACCCAATCTCTTGCAAGTAGACCAAAATTTTGTGAACAAACAAACAAACAAACAAAAATAGCAACCACATGCACCAAGATACATTGTCATAAAACTGTTAAAGGGCAATGACAAAGATAGACTATTGAAAACAACAATGGAAAGAAAAGTAACCAATGAAGGAACACCAATTAGCTATTATGATGGAAATGGAAAAGAAACTTCACAAGAAGAGAGTGCAGGTATTATTTAAAATATTCAATAATAATTTTCCAATCTAGATTTCAAATCTAGAATATTTTATCCTTTGTCATTCTGATAGAAGGGACTATAAGAAATTCAATATTTCAGAAAAAAATTAAACAAATTTCTCAACACTAAGCCAGGTATGAAAGAAGTGAGTACTAAACAATAAACAATACACATAAATTATAAAATGTGGAAGAGGATGATATTAATTATGGGGCTCATCATAAAAAGTTTGAGATCAGGTCATGATCATGCAATTAGCCACAACAAGGACCACTACATACTAATTTCAGTGGAAAAAAATAAATAACAATCCATAGAAGTAAGATTAAGACAATGGAAATGGAACTTTAAACAAAACATGAAAAGAAGATATAAAAATTTTAAAATACAAGTTAAAATTTAAATGAAAATAAGCACTTAAGCCTCAATAATAACTTTAAATGTAAACGACTTGCATTCACCAGATAAAAGATAGAGGCAGAATGGACTTCAAAACAAAGTCCAACCATCTATTGCAGCAAACCTATCTTATCAACAAAGACAAGCACAGACTAAGAGTTAAAATGTTGTAAGATATTCCTGCAGGCATTGGCAATTAAAAAGAGCTGGGAACAGATACATTACTATGAGCTAAAACAATGTTCAGTTAAAATAGTGATCATGAGATAGAGGACAGTACATTTTGATTGAGTCTAATAAAAAAGAAGAAACAAAATAACTCAAAGACAACTAATAATAGTAATAGAAATACATCACACTGATAGTGGATGTATAAACCCTTAAAAATCTCTTGAATCTAATAAAAGTGAGGATATAAGATGCAAGAATCTACAAGGTATAGCAAAAGTGGTCTTGACAGGGAAGATAATTGCAATACACTCTACATTTGAAGTCAAGAAAAATCCCAAATAAATAACTTAATATTACAACAAAAAAGAAAATAAGGAGTACTATCAGTCATGCTTAATAGACAACCACAGAATACTATACACCAAATAAAAATGCATATATACAGTTTATCCAAGCACACATGGCATAGAGTATTTTCAAGTATACACCATATGTTATGATATAAATCAGTTGACAATAAATCTATGAAGACTGAAAGATACCAAGTAATTTATCACACCATAATTCCATAAAGCTAGGAATGAAATATTTTTTAAAAGGAAAAATTACAAATATATGGAGATCAAACAATGTGCTGCTGAATAGTTATTGTATTAAAGAGGAAATTAAAGCAGGAATCAAAAATCTCTTGAGACTGGACCTCCCATGTGGTACAGGAATTAAAGTCTCACCTATCAAGGTACTGCCAACAACTGCAGCATGAGTTCAATGCCCAGTCAGGCATCTAACCCACATGGCTCACCAGACCTCTCTTGTATCGCTCACTGCTCCCCTTAGCAATGTATTTCATTAGATACACCTGTTCTGCTCCCTATTCTGTCTCTGGTGAATTCTCTCACTCCCTTACAACTCTGGCTTAAACCCAGTTCCTTTATGCATAAATAAATAAAAATAAATCCTTAAAAATCTCTTGAATCTAATAAAAGTGAGGATATAAGATGCAAGAATCTACAAGGTACAGCAAAAGTGGTCTTGACAGGGAAGATAATTGCAATACAGTCTACATTTGAAGTCAAGAAAAATCCCAAATAAATAACTTAATATTACAACAAAAAAGAAACAGTCAATGCCTAGATATAGTAGCAGAAACAAAAATAATAAAGATAAAATTGGAAGTAAATAGAAATAAAAAATACTATACAAATGTCATCAATGAAATTGAGTTGGTTCTTCAAGATGATGAACAAAATTGGTACCTCTACCTAGGCTAACAAAGAAAGGAAAGATAAAACATTCATAAACATAATTAGAATTTCCCTGTGGTTCAGGTGTTAATGTCTTAGCACTATCAAGCTATAACTAACCACTGAGGTGTGAGTTTGATCCCCAGCCAAGGAGCTAACCCACATGGCAAGGAAAACCTCACCTGACTTGACTGTTCCTTTCCTTAGCAGTATATTTTAGTAGACACCTATTTTTCTCCCTACTCATTCTGTTTCTGGTCAATCTTCTCATCCTTTGCTCCTCTGCCTACACTTAGTTCTTGTATGCATAAATAAATAAAAATAAATATTTTAAAAATATGATTAGAAATGAAAGAGGAAAATTACTACAGATGGCATAAGTGTACATATGATCATAATAATTTGCAATGATGAGCTATACATCAATGAAGTCAGTAAGTGTTAAAGTAATGGACACATTTCAGAGAAAATATAATTTACCAAAGACAAATCAAAAGTTGAATGAACTAATTACAATAATTGAAACAACAATCAAAAATCTCCATCAAAATATTTGCACATTTGAATAAGGGATTAACACCCAAGCTATGTGAAAAATTCATACAGCTCAACAAAAAGAAAACAAAGAATTCAATAAAAAAAATGGGGAAGTGAGGCCATCTCTGGTGGCTCAGTGGGTTAAAACACAGCACTAAGAAGCTAATGCCATGTCCTCATGAGTTTGATCCCTACCTGCCCTGGAAGTGACCACAACAGACCTATCCTGACCGTCCTGCTGCCCCCTCAGCAGTGTATTTCGTCAATCCGCCTGTTCTATTCCACACTCTATCTCTGGTGAATCCTCTCATCAACCCTGAACCTTTGGCAGTACCCCAGTTCTGTATGCACAAATAAATACATCTTTAAAAAAAATGGGGAAGTGAACTAAAAAGATAGTTCTTTAAACAAGACATGGTCAAAAGGCACATAAAAAAATGTGTGCCAACAAAATCATCAGGGGATTTTCACAATACCACTATGAGATACCAACTCATAACTCTGACTTTGGTACATATGAAAAAGTAATTTGAAAAAGAAAAACAAAGAGGAGAACTCATACAAAAATAAATGTTGGCAAAAATGTGGGGGAAAAGGGACCCTGCTAACACTGTTGGGAAGCCTGCTTACAGGTTGCCTCCCCAGAAA